CCTTGAAATTATAATAAAAAATTTAAATGAAAAATTATCAGAAACTGTTTATTTGATTATTATTATTTTTTAGAATAATAGTAAAATCTCCAAAGTAAATTGTGATACTTTTGAATGAATTTTGTAAATTAAGTAAATATTATGATATTATAGTTAGTCAAGTTCTTTTATTAGTTTGGTGGATGTGGTTAAACATTGTTTCTTTCAGTCGACTGCAAATTAATTTTGATACTACATTTCCCGGATGTAGCGAATTTGTAGGCTCGAAGGAACACATCGTGCGGCGCGTTCAAAAATAGCCAGGCGCACTTCCATTTACGCCAGAGTCGTTCCTTCGCAAAAGGACTTGTGCGATTTTCGCCACCTCCTCCCTCTCGGGCTCAAAGAGTGATCAGGTCGAGATATAAAATCCACGACGGCGACAATTTATCGGGCCCTCGGCTGGGATATATTACGAGAGCTCGTTTTTTCTTCTGCTCATTTTGCCGGAGAACAGGTCTGTCTGCCCACATGTGGTGGGCCGTCGTCATCAGGCCTTTTAAGGTCTGCCTCGTGCATTGTAAAAGTTGTTCTCTCTTCTCCATCGGCCCACACTTTCTTAAAATCCTACGCCGAGATGCACGTTTAAAAAAGAAGGCGCTTTAAACTGGCGATCTCGTAGGCGTTTTGTGCGCCGCCGACCCAGCCGGCAGCTCTCTGCTGTGGGTTTAAACTCAAGGGTTTCTGGGATGGACCAAGTAATGTAAATCATATTATTGTTCTTCCTTGAATTTAATTAATTATCGATTATAACTGGCAAATGTGCGGCCTTCAGGAAAAAGCCCCAGTTTTGGATATGGCAAGCGTAGGTTGATGACTTTGATATGGTCCAAGGCATGTATTTTTGTGTTTCGGATTTAATGTTTTATTTGTGAAAGAACGAAAACTATTTCTGGATCATGGAATTCTAAATTCACATTGTTTCTTTTATGGGAGATGAAATTTAATGCAGATTTATTATTTAAAATTTTAGTTAAATTAAAGACAATTTTTTTATATAATTAATTAAATTTTCTCGCTGGAAATTAAAAAAAAAAAATTAAAAAAGTTACTAAATTAAGCTAAAGATTTGTAAAACAAAAAAATATTTCAAATGAAAATCTGAAATAGAAATTAAGTTTAAAATCACATTTTATTAATATTAAAAATAAACCAGCAAATTTATTAATCGCTAATTTGCAATAAATTGGTTCTAAAATGAAAAATGTTTTATTATTGATTTTGATACATAAGACTTTAAACCTGCTTTAAACTGATGTTTATATCATCATTTTGAAATTAATTGACAAAAAATTGAGCCATAATTTTAATTTCTTTTCCTTTCAATTTCTTATGAAGATTGATCAAGATGATTATGAATGAATCCCTTGACTTCTCAACTACATTCAAACGCCCAACTAAATATTATCGTCGGTCTTCTGGGAAGCTGGCACTCTCGTTTTTGTGATTTGAAAAGCGCACGCAGCTTGATTGAGATAACTGGTGGTGTGAATTTACTAACGCGAGTGAATGACAATGACAGGAAGGGAGCTGTTCGCCCTCTCAAGGATGCATCTGCTTGCGATGACGTAACGAGTCGGAAAATAAGACAAGGCACGCCTCGTATTATAAATCGTGTCTGCATGCATGTGAGCAATGAGAAAGGAAGAAAGAAATAATCAGCCTAGCAATGCAACTCACGAGCCTTTTTCATTCTTATCAGTTCCATTCAAACGAACAACAAAGTTCGTAGCATGTAATATGTATTTTGTCAGGGTGGTGATGAACTAAAATATAGCCAAATGTTGACTCACGCGTGAAATTCTCGTTTAGTCGCGAGAGTGACAGGGATTTTTTTCGCGTCACCCGATTTCTCCAATTAATATTGAGAGAATTGTGACCGGCCTGCGATATTCATTCTCGTTAGCAAAATAACAAGCTTGAGAACCTGCGAGTGAATAACAACGCGCAGGTTCTTTACCTTCGCAAGACACACCATTCGAAAGAAAGAGTTATGCTACAGCTGGTGATTGAACCTTTGCTTCTTTCTCTCGTGTGCTGGTTATTACTGCAGTATCACTACTTGGCCATTGTGCCCTTTGTCAGCTTCACGACATTTGAATAAACGTTTTGTAAATTTAAATCCTTTCCCCGGCGCCAGATTAACTTTTCGAGTCGAAATTTTCATTTAAATCTGGGTTCGTTTGCTCCAATTTCTTAACAAATTTTTATGTTAACACGTGTGCCATACGAAGGTATGAAAATTTAAGCACATTTACCAGCCTGAGTGCGAAATTTTCCATTTTTGCGCGCATATGGTGCATGCAAATCCACTGGGATATCTCGTTCGGCCAGCGCCGGTCTGACGCCAAATCGACTGCAGCGATGCCGGCCTCAATTTCTACTCTTTCTCTCTCTCCACACATGAGCTCTCCAGGTATGAAATATAAAAATAAACGTATGTACGTGTTTTTATCATAAAAATTAATTACGACTTGTGTTTGATTGCGGTAAATATTACCCTGGCGTCATAAAGGAAGTTGAAATAATGGCGCTTCTTCTCTATGGTCAACAAACAGCCGCTTCGAAAACAAATTGAAAAAGGTCAAGTGCTTTAAAAATTTTTTTAAGACTAAAACAGATGGAAAGTTTTAAAGGGCCGAAAATATAAATACTAAAATCAGAAGAAAAAAAAAACCTTTTGCGAGATGAAAATGAGGTGAGGATTCTAAAATTACTATTAGTTTTTGGCAATAACAGCTTCAAAATTATTATGAAGCACTTCTCAATTTCTGTATGCAAATTGCAATACTTCTAAGTATGTTTTGAAAGGATATAATTCTTGGTTGCAGCCGATTTGCTGATCTCTATTTATACCGCAATATTTTCCCTAACACGTACGCTCTAAACTTGTTATGATATACAAACGCAAAATTACAATTTGTGTTTGCTGAGAGCATTTCTATAAATATCGAGTGATGATCTTGCTCGCCACAAGGAAAATCTCGCAAAGAAAAATAAAAAGCAAACCAGTTGTAAAAATTTCAATGCGTCGCGAGTAGAATCTTGATTTTATAAACCCAGAGGAAGAAAGAGATTTATTATTCTTTTCTTTGTCCAGACACAGGAGGAAAACTCTGGCTGAAAATCCTTTTCGGGAGACATTAAGTTGCGATAGACAATTGGTCTTGTGATGACTAAAATGGCATGTAGGTTAATGTTGGTGGCTGCAGGTTCTATGTAGAATTCGAGTTGCATGGCAAATTGATAAATAATGCAACAGCTCGTTAAGCCCAAGAGCGTCTGTGTTTAAAAGGCTCTGCCTGCAGACTAATTAACCAGAGACCATATTAAAAGTAGCAATGCCGTCATCTCGCCTTCAGAGAACTTAATGCCCTGGGTGACACTCGATCGCCGACGATAATATAATAAAACAATAACAGCGAGCGGCGATATAAAAATTCCTCTGGTTTTTTGCTGCAAAACCAACTTGAGAAGAATTGGGTGGCGCCGCGAGAGAGAAGGAAAATAAATGCCGTGTGCGAGCCTAGGTAAACATTTTGGCCTTGTTGGGCGTTATCGTGTGTTGCTTGCTGTCAACTTCAACTCTGCCGCCTCCTAATGGTTTAATCGATGGTTTTGAATTTTTAGTTTGGCTGCATTTCTATGACGACAGACACTTTTTTTTAGTCAACATGGACAGTGGAATAAAAGGTCAAAGATATTCACCATGAAAAGTTTAAAAAATATCTGAAAAGGCGACAAATATGGTAAAAATAAGCTTTACACACTCAAAGAGCTGAAATTAAGTTTTATAATTAGAATATTTTTATTTATAAATTTATCATTAAAGCAATTAAATTTTAGTTTTTATAAATAGGGCGTATATTTCTGCATGCAAATTTTTAGCTTTTAATATGCCGTTTTTGCGTATGTAATTAATTTCCTTCAACATTAAGTAGTCCAACTTTAAACATAATTTAAAAAATATATACAATTTAAGCTATTTGATGTTACTAAAGTAAGTATTACTAAAAATAAATAACATAATTTCATAGTAAATTAAGAAAACTTGAAATGTGCAAAATTGTTATGGAATAAAAAAATGACGTGAGATTTGTATCAAATTTGAATTAATTTAAATGTCTGGTCTGTTGAAAAAACTACTAACAAACCAGATTAAACTAAAGATAAACTTAATAACTTAGTCGCTAGTCGTGGTGCGGTCAAGTTTCAAGCATATGCCGTGCATTTTATTGTAATTTATAATTTACGGTGTAAGTCGCTAGACAGTCAAAACAATAACTCCCTTTTAAAAGTTGTGTAATCCTTTTGCTAACCACTCAAGTGTGACACCGGCGATATTTTCCAAGAATGCGCACCAACACGCGATCGAGGATTTAAAAAAGGCTGCACGCGGTGCAGTACAGTTCGCAGGTGATGATGTCACCATTTGCCACTTTAAACACCGCCGCTTAATAATGAATGACTCATACTTGCGTATACACAAATGCGTGTTAAATGTACTTAAAGGGCTCGTCGACGCCAACTCAAAAAAAAAATATCGCCAGCAGTTTAAAATTAAAAATAATAGAGACCCTCAGGTAAAATGCTCAAATATACGACCTTGTTCAAAAACAATCGAAGCGAAACAGTAATAGTAATTCGCCAAAATCTCGTTTGCCCACGCGGCAGATTTTTATCACTCGCCCTACGAGAATATAATTTGCAAAGGAAATTAGGAGGAGAATAAGGAAAATCAAAAAGAGCGGGGCCGAGAAAAGTACCCCACTGACCCCACATGTTATTCTGCAAGAAGGGCGAAAAGCGTCAAGACAAAAAAAAATTCAAATGGAGCCGTCTACCCAAGCAAACCCGTCTTTCCTAAGAAGGCTCGGAGCCGGTGATGTAGGCTGCGCGTATAATTTTTTCTTTCTCACATCATCGTCTCATTGGCTTCCCAGTCCCCTTCCACCTGTCCTGTTACCTTTAGAATTGCAGCAATTTGGAGCCTCGGAACATTCACTTCTTGACGAGAAAGAGGACACAACTGCTTCAGGACTCTCTTCTCACCACAGTTCAGAATCATGAGGGAGATTGTGCACATCCAGGCTGGCCAGTGCGGCAACCAGATCGGAGCCAAGGTAGGCGCCAATATTACTGTTTACTAAGTTTACTTGTGTAATGAATAAAACTCTAGCCAGAAATAAACAATAAATTTTAAAAAAAATCATAACATTTGAAATTTGGAAAATAGAAAAAGTATGTGATCTTTAAATTTAATACTGATTTTTATGTTTAATTTTCCACGTTGCTATACAATCAGAAAAAAAGGAAAGCAAGTTGATATTATAATTTAATATTTATTGTTTAGAGATACTTAAATGATTTTCTTAATGTAATATTATTATGGACATTATGGTACAATTTTTATCAGATCTAGAAGAAAAAAAAACAAAGATTATATTCATGCACAATTCATATTTCATTCAATATGTTTTAAATTTTATTTGTTTCGTTTAAAGAGAACAGTCGTTTCTATTCAATTCTCCCCAGATTCTCCCATTTTATAATATATTTTTTTTTTTGTATATTTTATGTAATTTAATAAAAGTGAACAGTCTTAAATTTGCATAGCACAATGAAAAGGAATGATTTCATTGCAATAATTATGTACAACTGAAAAATATTAAATTTTATTTTGTTTAAATCTGATGGGTGAAAATTTTTGATCAATTTTACACATTTTGAGTACACTCTAGCAGCCCGTGATAAGACATCTTTAGCACGCCTTTTTTGTAGTAATTTCTTTCACCGGCACACGCCTCTGTCTCATATTATGCCTAATTGCGCTTGGCCACGTATCAAAAACAGTTACCTCTTCATGCACGGCTGCCGCACTCTTTTTTTGCATTCGACCGAAAAATTCCTACCAGCAATTCGACGCCGCCTTTATTATTATTTTCGCATTCCTCGTCACGCTTTTTCATTTTACATGTATTCTGTTCGATCTAGTTCTGGGAGATCATCTCCGACGAGCATGGCATCGACCCCACCGGCAGCTACCACGGCGACTCGGAGCTGCAGTTGGAGCGCATCAACGTCTACTACAATGAGGCCGCCAAATCGAAATTCGTGCCCAGGGCCATTCTCGTGGACTTGGAGCCCGGCACGATGGACTCCGTCCGTTCAGGACCCTACGGACAGATCTTCAGGCCAGATAACTTTGTGTTCGGACAAAGCGGCGCCGGTAACAACTGGGCCAAGGGACACTACACTGAAGGCGCCGAACTGGTCGACTCCGTGCTGGACGTTGTGAGGAAAGAGGCCGAAAGCTGCGACTGCCTGCAGGGCTTCCAGCTGACACACTCCCTGGGCGGAGGCACCGGCTCAGGAATGGGCACCCTTCTCATCTCCAAGATCCGAGAGGAGTACCCTGACCGCATCATGAACACCTATTCCGTCGTCCCAAGCCCAAAGGTAAATTAATTTTTATATATAAAAAAAATGTTCAAAAGAATATACAAACGTATAGACTGATCAAATAATCCTCTCTTGTGCGTCTTTTTGTATGGCGGAAACTATGGAAAAATCCTCTGAAAATTTTTATGCGGTGAATTAATAATTTTAATAAGCATTGCTTAATTTTCTAATTTTACAATTTGTAAATATTAATTTTTCTAGAATTTACTCGTACAAAACTATAGATTTCATAAATCTTTAATTCCGTTTGCACCTGTAACCAGTAAACTAATTGTAGTGTTTTAAATGCCTAAAAGCATAAAAAAAGTTAAATTCGTCTAACAGAATGTTTAAATTTTAATAATTTAATAAACATTATTTCTGACACAAATTTCTTAAGAAATTTAAAATCATATTTTTTCTGCGAAACATGATAAATAACCTTTATTTTTCTATACATATTTTTTGATGCATTGAATAAAAAAATTGAAATTTGTGTCCCTAGGTGTCTGACACCGTGGTGGAGCCCTACAACGCAACCCTGTCCGTGCACCAGTTGGTCGAGAACACTGACGAGACATACTGCATTGACAATGAGGCCCTTTACGACATCTGCTTCAGGACCCTGAAGCTTACCACCCCCACCTATGGTGATTTGAACCACCTGGTGTCCCTGACCATGTCCGGTGTGACGACGTGTCTGCGCTTCCCTGGCCAGTTGAACGCTGACCTGCGCAAACTGGCGGTCAACATGGTGCCCTTCCCCCGTCTCCACTTCTTCATGCCCGGATTCGCCCCCCTGACCTCCAGAGGAAGCCAGCAATACCGCGCCCTGACCGTTCCGGAACTGACCCAGCAGATGTTCGACGCCAAGAACATGATGGCCGCTTGCGACCCTCGTCACGGCCGCTACCTGACCGTGGCTGCCGTCTTCCGAGGCCGCATGTCCATGAAGGAGGTGGACGAGCAGATGCTCAACATCCAGAACAAGAACAGCAGCTACTTTGTCGAATGGATCCCGAACAACGTCAAGACCGCCGTCTGCGACATTCCTCCCAGAGGCCTCAAGATGGCCGCCACCTTCATCGGCAACTCCACCGCCATCCAGGAGTTGTTCAAGCGCATTGGAGAACAGTTCACCGCCATGTTCCGTCGCAAGGCTTTCCTCCATTGGTACACTGGCGAGGGCATGGACGAGATGGAGTTCACCGAGGCCGAGAGCAACATGAACGACCTGGTGTCCGAGTACCAGCAGTACCAGGAGGCCACCGCCGACGACGACGCCGAATTCGACGAGGAGCCCGAGGCTGAAGTCGACGACAATTAAAATTCTGCAATTTTGTGCCCACCGTCCGTGATTTCAAAATAATTAATTTCCTATCGAGACGCATTCCTAACTACGGCCATGCTTGAAATTCCCTGAATTTTTTTACCCAAATGTATTGCTAAATAATCAAGACTGACCCTCGCCGTCCGCAATATGTTTGAATTTTTTCATTTAATTTTGATACTATAAATTCGTCCCATATTTTTTTTTTTATTATTATTTTTCGCAATAAAATTGGTCTTTCAAATAAAAAATAAACACGTTTCCTAAAAGTGGAGGTCTCGTTTTATTTTATTGCAATGCTCATTCGCCTCTTCTGAATCGTCAAAACTCGCGAATTTTATTCGCCAATTCAGTGCACGTCTGTCTCTGGGCGGGAGGAGGGCGAGAGGGGGAGCGCATGAGTCGTCGCGCCGTTCGCCGAAGGGGAGCCGAACGCTGCCGAACCGAGCCGAGCCAACAATACGGCCGCACTCGACGAGTTCGAACAAGTCCTGTAGATCTGCAACCGTCAGCGAGCAAAGGCAGCCGACTTCTGAAACCGTCTCGCCTTGTTTGACGTTAAATCCGATTAGAAAAGATGAGGGAAATCGTTCACATCCAGGCCGGCCAGTGCGGCAACCAGATCGGCGCCAAGGTAATGCGCGACAAATTTGAATTTGGTCAAAATTCGCGTGCGAATTTTCGGCTGAAATTCGAAATTCGCCACTTAGCAACACACCGGACACGCCCATCCATAAAACAGCGAAAATTCGCAACTGTGCAAAAACATTTTCATACTTCATACTTTCGCCAAAATTTTTCAAAATCATCAAAATTTTTTAAAAATTCATGTCAAGAATTTTCCGCTTTTGCTGAATTTTGAACTGTCAGACGGATCGATAATTGCCCCAATTGGCGTCATTCGGCCACCCTTTCTTGTGAATTACACACCCTTGCCATTATAAGCCACCCCTCGAGACACGGTACTTTTATAAAAACTGGGGTGTCAGCCAGCGTGAATTTAATTACTTTTCTCACGTTCGCCTGCACACACGCTTTATTTGAATATAAATTAAACTCGCGTCAAATTCATACCTAAATCTTTTTACCTTTTTATTAATGAAAAACGTAAACGTACCACTCGATTCATTCATCCTTCAGCGAATTCCGTGCGGGGCGAATCGAGGGAAACAGCAGGGGTTGAATTTAGAGCGCAGGTGATCGCGCTTGAGTTCATTTTTAAATTAATACGGAGCTGTCAGAGGAACCGCAATCTGGCGGTTTCCCTCCTTTTTTGGCGCTAATTGAAGCCCACCTGTCCTGTCCGGCCGGGTTTTTTTTTATATATACATGGCGATTATTCAACGCGACTGATTAACTCGACGCAGTCAGCAAAATCTACTCTCAGCATTCCATATAAAGTAAAACCGTTTTAAAACTAGTTCTCTCCACCTGGAGGAGATGAATGAATGTGATTTGAAAATTAAAATCTAGGCCCGCAATAAATTTCTCTTACTGAAGTGCCGTTCATTAGGACTTTTAAATGTATTATTAAACACAATACAAAATTATGTTAAAAATAAGGCATTTCCACAATAATCTAAAATCTGAAATTTGGTTTCATGAAAGCTAATGTAAGCAAAGAAATTTATAATTACCTGAAAACGTAAGTCTAGGAGTAAGTCAAATTTCAATAAAATTTTGTAGTAGAAAATTTAAATGTTTTCAATTTTTTCGGTTATTTTGTATCAACAATTATTTTGGATATATGAGCGAGTACAAATAGCTACAGAAAAATTTTGCGCCGTTTTCGAACAAAAAGAGCGTAACTTTTTGCTCTTTTTTGAGTAATAAAATTAGAGTAAAATTTTATTTTATAATTTGTACCTTTTTGGTTAATATTTGTTTATGGCTTGACAAGGGATTTTTTTAAATAATTAATGGCAGTTTTATGGTGCTGTTTTGCGTCAGTATTTTCTATACTTTATTGTGATCTCTCTTTTTTTTCGAAATTTTTGGTGGTCCCTTTTTAGCCAAAATTGGAGCTCGAGAAAGGTGCAATATCAAGTAATCACAAACCCCAATCTCCAAGGCAAAAGCAACTTATTATCAGATCCAAACCTATTTTTTTGAGCTGCTCACAAAAAGCGAACTAGATGCGGGCAGTTCTTCGTCGGTCAAGTGTGACCAGCTCGTGGTTCGCTCACCAGCTAATTATCTGACTTTCCGCAAACTGGAGCTGCACAATGCAGCGAAAATCGCCGACGCTTCCAGCCGCATCGGATATCACTAAAAAAGAAAAAAACGAGAGAGGAAAAAGAGAACAACAATAACATTTGGTGTGACTTAGGCACAGAAAAATCGATTTGACTTGTTTGCCAGGAGGACAAATCGAATATTATAGAATAAAAATAGGAAATGCTACAAATTTTATTAAGACAAGGTCTCTGGTCAATTTGGAAACTGTAAATAAATGTCAAAAAGCATTTTGGTGGTTGTTGGTGAAATATTAAAGCATTCCACGTCGATAATTCTCTTATCAGAGACGTTTAGATGTCATGTTAAAGCAGTTGTTCACGTGCCAGGACGTCATGCTTTTTTGATGAGAGAGGATAAATGAGCATTTCTGATAAGATCACATTGAGTGATTTTTTTGTTTATTTCTACGCACAAAGTTGCTGAAAAATTGGTAACTATTTCTTTTATATAATTATATGCTTCTTTGAATTTTATTGAAGGTAGAATAGGAATGCGTTTTTCATCTTTCACAATCCGTTCTGTTTTTATATCATTAATCATTATATACTTATACCAATTGCTGCAAAATTTAGAATTTAAAAAAAAAATTAATTGAAATTTCTTACTATTCAACTCTAATTGCATATTTTAGTCAAGTAAAATTATACATTTTAGACTATTATTGAGTAAAAATTAACCTGATAGTGCCTGAAAAACCCATTTACCGTTTCTTGGAAAAAGTTTCTACTGGCAAAAAACTTTTAAATTTAAACTTATCTTTAAGTTAATAACATCTTTGAACCTTCAAGGGTTTATTTTGATATTAATTAATTATTTTACTACACAATACTGTTATTAATCTCCACCTTGTAAGGGAGCCGATTTCATTGTGATACTCTCTGATTCATTTTTCAGTTGCATCCAAAATTAATTAATTCCGGATAGAAATTGATCACTACTTGCATTAAGTAGCCCGTTCGTTTCAACATCGCTTGTAAATTCAATCGCTCCTTACAAGGCAACGTCAATTAGGAACATTTTTTCGAGTCGGTCCGATTTGCATTTGCTTTTCTCTCTTGACGTTATTAATGGTGCTAGGCACCGTTTGTCTTGTAATTAGTCGATTGAAGAGCTTCATTAGCCGAGCAATAAAATGTGAGAATTTTCCGATTGTGAGCCGTGGCGGCGCCAGGTGTTTGTTGGGCTCGATTGGGAGCGAGATTTTGAGGCGAGCACGCAAGAAAGAAAATCGACCAGAGGAATTTCGTGACGCGCGCCAGGCACCACTGGGCACCGGAAAAGTGCCCAGGTCTCGCGAAACAAATTGCTGATAATAAAACCGCGATAAGCATCTCTTTCGGCCTGAAAGAAGAAAGAAAGTCATTAATCTCATTCTGGCAGAAAGGAATTTGGACGGGACAATGGAGAGATTCGCACGTCACAAGAAGAGCTATAGGCGAGGCCGCGCGCGCGATTTTCTTTCCAACACCGTCAAAGAAAATGAAGCAATAAAAAAATTATGGCAAAAGTGTCCAGATACGATCATGGCACAGAAAGTCGAGGGGTGAAATATCACACGCATTTGCAACTTAGCATAATATTTTTGCAAGGCGCCGCCTATATTATATGCAATCCGATAGTTTTTCTTTTCTCCCAGCATTGTACATCTGATGCACCGATGCATTTAGAAAGTTTTTCTTTCTTAAAGATCGCATTTTTCTCAATTAATTTATTTATAAAATTATTAAAAAATTTATTATTTTCAAGTGTCATTTTTATCTTTTGATTTTCTAAATGATTATTTTATTCTCTTGAATAAAATTCAAATAAAAAAGTCGAGAATTGTGAAACATTATTATTATACGAATGACATATTGTGAAAAGACCTGCCCGCCTTTGCCGAGGGCGGCCGCTCATCCTGAAAAATGTGCACTTTTGCATGTAAACGGCCTACAGTAGAATAAGCGGATATTTATTTCACTGTCAGGCATATGGGCGGTGGGTGCGTTAGTCACCGCGTCGCTGGACCCCTCGTATCGCCTCACCCACTGTTAATTAGCAAACAGGCGCGCTTTACGACTTTGCTTGTCCGATTCGCAAGATTATTGTACAAAGGCCAGTGACCTGCAAACAAAGGCGGTCAGAGTCATTACAAATTATTATAATTTATAATGCACTGTTCAAATAAGGCGTAAACGAAATAATTTTGAAAACTTGAAGTTAATTATTTGTTTCTAGCAAAACCTTTTTGACTAATAAAAAATATTTTACTTTTCTTACAGTTCTGGGAGATCATTTCTGATGAGCATGGCATCGATCCCACCGGCGCCTACCATGGCGACTCCGAGTTGCAGCTGGAGCGCATCAACGTTTACTACAACGAGGCCTCTGGTGGAAAATATGTGCCAAGAGCCATCCTCGTCGATCTGGAACCGGGAACCATGGACTCCGTCCGATCAGGACCTTTCGGTCAAATCTTCAGACCAGACAATTTCGTGTTCGGACAAAGTGGTGCTGGAAACAACTGGGCCAAGGGACACTACACCGAGGGTGCTGAACTCGTTGACTCTGTTCTCGACGTTGTGAGGAAGGAAGCGGAAGGCTGCGACTGCCTGCAGGGCTTCCAGCTGACACACTCCCTGGGCGGAGGCACCGGCTCAGGAATGGGCACCCTTCTCATCTCCAAGATCCGAGAGGAGTACCCTGACCGCATCATGAACACCTATTCCGTCGTCCCCAGCCCAAAGGTACTTGACTTTTTTTTAAATTTATGTGTGAAAATTCTATATAAAAGCATCTTTTATTTGTTTAATAGAATCTAAATTTTTGACAAGACTAAAATAATTTTTTTTCAATTTTCTATAGGTGTCTGACACTGTGGTGGAGCCCTACAACGCAACCCTGTCCGTGCACCAGTTGGTCGAGAACACTGACGAGACATACTGCATTGACAACGAGGCCCTTTACGACATCTGCTTCAGGACCCTGAAGCTTACCACCCCCACCTACGGTGACCTGAACCACCTGGTGTCCCTGACAATGTCCGGTGTGACGACATGTCTGCGCTTCCCTGGCCAGCTGAACGCTGATCTTCGCAAACTGGCAGTCAACATGGTGCCCTTCCCCCGTCTCCACTTCTTCATGCCTGGATTCGCCCCCCTCACCTCCAGAGGAAGCCAGCAGTACAGACAGCTCTCCGTGCCTGAACTGACCCAGCAGATGTTCGACGCCAAGAACATGATGGCCGCTTGCGACCCTCGTCACGGCCGCTACCTGACCGTGGCCGCCGTCTTCCGAGGCCGCATGTCCATGAAGGAGGTGGACGAGCAGATGCTCAACATCCAGAACAAGAACAGCAGCTACTTTGTCGAATGGATCCCGAACAACGTCAAGACCGCCGTCTGCGACATTCCTCCCAGAGGCCTCAAGATGGCAGCCACCTTCATCGGCAACTCCACCGCCATCCAGGAGCTCTTCAAGAGAATCTCCGAGCAGTTCACCGCCATGTTCCGTCGCAAGGCTTTCCTCCATTGGTACACTGGCGAGGGCATGGACGAGATGGAGTTCACCGAGGCCGAGAGCAACATGAACGACCTGGTGTCCGAGTACCAGCAGTACCAGGAGGCCACCGCCGACGAGGACGCCGAGTTCGACGAAGAGCCTGAGGCTGAGGTTGAGGAGAACTAAGTTGATGAGCTTCTTCTGGTCCTTCATATTTTCTTGTCATCCTTTGATACTTTGAGTAATGCCCAAACAGTCACAACTATTAATTAATAACATCAAATGTTGATGGCACACACTCCAAATGCGATATTTTTCCTTTCTACCATTCCTACAATGTGCATTTAAAATAAAGCAAAATTAGCTTAACTTATGGATACCCTGCTCTATTATTCTACTCCAATTATTAATCTAACAAAATTATTAAAAGGATTTTAAAGAATTAAATAGGCAAGTGTTATATGAACACATCAAAAAATATATTTTTAAAAAACGTGTAATGGACGCATTTGCAATAAAGTTTGAAATCGCGTCAGCCTACTAGTATCATCTCTTGACAGAATTTTTTTAAAATCCTGGTTCAAAAGCAAACAACAGATAAATTTAAATAACAACACTTCTTTCCCTTCAAACTCGTTGGAATGTTTTGTTCAGTTTCGCATCACCTGATTTTTATCACAACTCTTCATGTCCAGCTTCAGGCTCATATGTGTCCAAAAGTCCTTGTTCGCAGGCCTTCACATGCTCAGAGCACAGCTGCAACTCCAAATCTTCGGCTTCTGCCGTGAAAAGTCGCAGAATATCTTCATCGTGCTCCTCAACAATTGTCTCACACTTTTTAAGAAAAATATAATACATTATTAAAATAAAACCATAAAATCAAAATTTTATTTAAACTCACATAATATTTGAGCCCCTTGTTCAAGTCAGGGTCCGGAACGATATCAACCTCATTCATGATTGGGTTCATCGTGCCCTTTTCGGTGATGATTCTGAAAATCGTCGGTTGCTTGTTTGATTTGTAAGCACCTTGCACGTAGTCCTCAAACTTCTTGCAGACGTTATCCAGAACCTCACTCATGTGCAGCTCTGATCGGGCGTATTGGATCTATAAAAATTAGACAGAAAATAATGGATAAAATAAGCAACAATAAGATCAAACCTTTCTCTGTTTTTTGTCGCCTTTCGAGTCTAGTCTGTAGCTCCCAACTTCGATCGTGTGTTCTGGATTCGCTTTTTTTATTTCGCTGTCAATTTCTTTCACAAGCGCCCGACAAACTATGCAAAGAAATCAAAATCAAGATAATTTAAACACAAGTCATTCCATTTCTTTTCATTTATTTTATCTTATATCAGAGTTTAAGTTTATAATCAAAATTGATTTACATAATTCATTCTGCATTTCATGATTTAAAATTGAAGTACATTATTACATATAGTGAATTTATAAATGTAAGCACTCAATGAATTCTCATTGTGATTTATCATAATTAAAATTTATTTACTGGCATTTTCCCAATATTTTGTTCACTAGGCAGGAGCATCAAAAATATTTTCTCCACGTAAAATTAAATAGTTTAAAAAAAATTTGAGAAACATTTAAATTGAGTTCTCCCTTCATGTTACTTTTATTAGATAAATATGATTTTTCTTTGCAACATATTTAGCCACTCAATGTAAGTATTTGTATTAAAAATAGTCTAGAACATGAGACTATTCTTGAAGTTAAATAAGCAATACATAAGCCTTGGCAAATTATCAAAATTGCAATAACTAGAATGTGTATCTCACCAAGGCATTTCAGCTGTTTTGGACTCGCTTTGGATGAAACAAAGGGCAACAGGAAACAGAGCAAAAGCACCCCGGTCTTCATTTTGATTTCGTGGAATCGCCTCTCGTTCAGCACCAGACCAACAACGCCGATTACTTCCGAAATTTGCTCTCTGTGTGACAACCGGGACGCTCTGTACAAAGTTTGCAAATTTTTGGCTGCCGTCCAGCTGGCCGCCACGCTTCTTTACGCTGATTGGTCGCCGACGGTTGAGGCTCGACGCTCTGATTGGCTCGTAGCGCTCAGCTGGCGCTGCCGGATTTGTTTGAACACAAATACGTGGTTTTATTTTATTCCGCGCCTGTTGCATGTTTTTACCGCGGTGGGTTCTCCAAACAAATCACGAAACAAACACTGCTCTGGCAAAATTGCGATAACAAGGAAAATCATGTCGGCGAAATTGGAATTGATTGCGGCCGCCTGCCATAATAGGGGCATCGGATTCAAAGGCAACCTACCCTGGCGTCTCAAGTATGTATTTTTCTTAATTCTATTTTATTTACTTTGTTTATTAAGTTTTTATTAATATTAAAGAAGCATGAGATATTTGATGCTCCTTGCCTGTTTGCCTTTTTCTACCGCGGCGGGTTCTCAAAACAAACAACTTGGCGAAATTGCGATGACAAGGAAAATAATGCCAGCAAAATTGGAATTGATTGCGGCCGCCTGCAATAATAGGGGCATCGGGTTCAAAGGCGAACTGCCATGGCGCCTCAAGTATTTTCCTTCTATTTATTTAAAAATTATATTATTATATATTAAATTACTTATGGTAAAACATTTTTCTGAATAATAATTTGTTTTCTAGATCTGAACTGGAATTTTTCACCCGGATGACAACTAACACTAAGGACGCAGGGAAAAAGAATGCTGTGATCATGGGCCGAAAGACCTGGGAAAGTATTCCTGCAAATCATAAACCCTTGCAAGGGCGCCTCAATGTTGTCCTCACCAGGCAAAAGGATTTGTAAATAGCTCAAATCTAGCAAAAAAAAGCATTAAAATTTTTTAATTTCTAGTGATCTAGGAGACAAAGGTGTTGTCTGCAATTCTCTAGAGGAAGCCGTGTCACTTGTGACCTCACCTCCTTACAACGACCAGATCGAAAGACACTGGGTCATTGGAGGAAGCGCTATTTATGAAGTAAGCTATGATAAGAATTGTTTATGACACGCCCCGTGATTTATATTTTTGTGGTTTTGATAAAATAAGAAAAAAATGTATCTTTTTTTACTTTTTCACGGCAAAACTTTTGCAAAAAAAAATCATGAGAATTTATTTATTTTTCAACTAATTTGATTTAATTTTATTTTTAGGCTGCTCTCAACTCAACCTCCTGCCATCGTGTCTACTTGACCGACATTTTGGCCGATTTTGAGTGTGACACCTTTTTCCCTGAAATGGATGAAACAAAATTCGAAAGAGTCGAAGACCCTGATGTTCCAGAGGGTATCCAAGAAGAGAAAGGTATTTGTTTCAAGTACAACGTATTCCAGCACAAGTGATATTTTGAGCTCGGCTGATCCGTTAATTAAATTCATATTATTTTTGTCAGTAAAGAATCTCACTAGCAGTGCCAAAATGTATTTTGTAAATTTTAATGACAAAAGCTTAAAATAAATGAAATTTTTAAATGAAAGTTTTAATCAAATTGAATTCTCCACCTGGACGGCTGCTCGCAAGCAACGTCGTCGTCTCCGCACAATCGTTGGAAAGTTGTGTCTGGGTGGAACCCCATGATCTCCCGTTCTTCCTGTATTCGGAAGGAAAATGTTGATTCGTAGGTCCCGATAAATGCTCGCGCGTGAGAACAGATGATCTGCTCAATTATGGCAACGCCACCATCTAAATACAACTCAACTTCCTCTTTTGTTGGTTGAAATTGGTGCACCATCAAATGAGATAAAGCCTTCCGAAGCTCGATTAATTCTAAAATGAGTAATTTTCGTTACTTGGCTAATAAAGGAAAATCAAATACCGAACCTTTATCCGTCCCATCGGAAGCAACAAAAACTTTGCCTACATCAAATTTCTTGGCCAACTTTTCTATTTGTTTGGCTGCACTATTTATGCTGGGAACATCTTTTGCTCTGCCAGTCACAAAGTCTTTTCTTCTCAAATGCACTCCAATGTATGGGCCTCCACGATTTAAACTCAAATCAACCTATAAAAAAATTTATATTTAAAATAAAAATTGTATAGGATTTATCATAGTAAGTTGCATATTTAAATTCTACTATTTGTTTTTATAATTTTTGAATAAAATCATTACGTTTTTGATTTAAATTTCTTGAAATCATAAAATACCTGTTGTTCCTCCGATTTCCAATCGTTGGGTCTAACAGTGTTGTCACTCTCATTTGAGGAGTTCAAATGACTTTTTCTAAACAAATGAGCCGCTTCGACTAAATTTCTTGCAAATCGCATACTGCGTCGAGCAGCCCAGTATTCGACGTCACCGAAAGCGTGGTGCAGAGCAACTTCAGCTCTGTCCAGCATTATTGCTCTGAAAATAGATTTTTTTATTTATATAAGTGTTATTAAAATAAAATCTAAAATACTTTGCTTTTTGTTCAATTAAGAAAGGTATAAGGGTTGTTGCCAGACCCTGAAGCGCCATGCACCGGACACTCGACGCTGAAATATTTGCATAATTCCAAAATCTGCCTCTCCACTTGTTGTCCTGTTCCTTCCTATTTAAATAAAATCAAAAATTATTATAGCACTTTTTTCAAAGAGTTTGCTTTTGCACCAATAATAAATTTCTGACTCGTTGCACTCGACATATTCCAATTTCTCTTCCCAAAGAGAATTCTCCTGAAAGTCAAAGTGCTGCAAAATGATAACCTCGTCTATTTTCCAATGTTTATTTTTATTCGGAAAGTCATGAAGCTCAAGGACAGGAACAAACTTATTCAGACTTTGGATATCAAAAAATTTAAACCAGGGAATTCTTTCTTGATCCAAATGGTTGGAGCGCCAGTGGTACGGAGAAGACCACGGAGGCAGAACCTGCAAATTCACTGAGATATTTCTATTTAAAATTATTTTAAGGTGGTGATACCAAAGTCCACGGTTGAAGAGCGTTCAGGTGAGAGACCAAGACGGCCATCCGTAGGTACACATCTCTGCGCAGATTGAACCCCTCGCCTGGGTTTACGTCGTAGAGGAGGAATCTTTTTTAAATAAATCAATTTACGTAATTTGACAGTTAGACACTTAGCAAGGGTAAAGCGCACCTTTGAGGTGTGTCATCCTTTCCTTCTGCCACAAAGATGACAATTAGCATTAGCAGCAACAAAAACGCATTTCTTGCACTCATGAGGTCTACATTGTATGGCAACTCAGGCAACTTTTGTTCGTCTTGTTCACAGATTAAATATCAGAGCAATCCGGAGAGACTTCCTATTCTCACCGCAGCTTCGTCGCCTCTACTCAAATTTGGTTTATTTACACTACATCAATCTGAACTGAAGATATGAATCACTATTTGATATGAATGTCCAAAATTATCCATTAAATTTTCAAATATCTGCTAACAAAGAAGGCTTTATTCATATTATTTTATGTTCATATAACTCTTTATAGTAAATGATAACTTGTACAACATAATTAATTAATTTTATTCATCTAATATAAATTATTTTTTTTATATTAAACAGTTTTTTTTTAATTTTTGTTTTATAATTTATTAAAAGTGAATTAATGTATTATAAACAATAAAATTTTAATTATAACTGTTTTTGTGTGGATCCGGCTTCCTGTAAACAAGCAGCAGTTTTTACCAACTAATTCCCAACTGTGTCACCCCTTGTCCGAACTTTCCTGATCATCAGGCACAATAGAGCCCTGTGAGGAAATTAAAGTATTTTTAAAATTTTAGTATTCCGGCTGTAAAAAGTTAAGGACTGATGAGTATAAAATATCTCCAAAGGTCTTAAGTGCTAAATTTTTTAAATTAAGGTCTACAGAAAACGAAAATGTCGGAAAATTTCCGCAGGTCTTATGTGCACAATTTTTAAAATTTAGGTCTAAAGAAAACAAAAATTGCGGAAAATTTCCGCAGGTCTTCAGTGCCAAATTTTTAAAATTTAGGTCAAAAGAAAACGAATATGTCGGAAAATTTCCGCAGGTCTTATGTGCACAATTTTTAAAATTTAGGTCTAAAGAAAACAAAAATTGCGGAAAATTTCCGCAGGTCTTCAGTGCCAAATTTTTAAAATTAAGCTCTTAAGAAAATGAAAATGGCGGAAATTGCCACAGGTCTAATGTGCTAAATTTTTTAAATTGAGGACTGAAGAAAACAAAAATTGCAGAAAAATTTCCAAATGTTTAAAATGTGCCATAATTTTAAAATTCAGGACTAAAGGGGAATTGTACCATTTTAAATCAAATTATTTTTGTGTGGATCTTAGACTCTCCTGTAAACAGCCAGCAACTTTGGTCCGTCATTTCTCGTCACCTTCTGCCCTTCCTCAGAACTGTCCCAAAGCTTGGGCACAACGGGATCTTTGTCCTGCAGAAGATTAATTTTTTTCTCAATATTTCAGAGTCATTTTCTCTAACATTCTTACCAGCTCATCCTGTGAAATGCGCTCGAACATAGGGTGCTCATCCAAGCACTTAACCATCCACTGGTTGAGGTCAGGAACATCAGTCACTGTATAGACCATGCCCTGAACAATAGATTCCGATAGATTCTTTTGGTTCTCGATTTATGTCCCAGTAAAACTTAAAGGTTTTACTCCACAATTGTTTGACTTTTTTTGAGTAATTTTAAATCTTACCCCTTCACAGAGGAGATAAGCATATTCTGAAAGGAGCGATCTGCTGATGATCCTCCACTCGTGTTTTGACTCCTTGAAATGCGGATCGGGAAACAAGAAGAACATTTTCTTCAGCTGAAATTTCAGTGTTATCATTTGCATTATATATTTTCAGAAAAAAAACCACCTGTCCTTTGCAAAAAAAATTTGGCAAGTACTTCATGGCGTTCGTTCGGAGGCAAGCGATGTTCTGGTGCTTGCCCGGCTCCTGCACCCTCAGGGCCTTGATTCGATCCATCACAAACTGAGACACTTTGACCCGGATTTCTAGTCCAAGACTCAAAACCTCTGGATACAATTCTCCAAGAGCAACTAAAAATATGAAATAAAAAATTAAAATTTGCAGGAATGCAGGAAAAATAATTTTCCTTGTGATATTATTATTATGTATTATAATTAATACCTAAAAGTCCTCCGTAGCCACAGCCAATGTCCGCAAACTCAACCCTTTTGTCAGGAAACTCAGGGTAAAGCGATGACCAATCCATCAAATCAGGGCGAATTGGACTAGAGTATGATAAAAAATAATCAATTTTAATAAATAAATTCAAATTAAATAATTCTCACTAGTCCACTTTATGGTCTGCAGTAGGGTTCGAGTGCGCCCTTTGCCGGTAGTGTCTCTTTTGAGGGTAGCGCACATTGTCCTCTTTTGTTCCCATGATTTTTTTTAGGACTCCCTTAGCTGCTTCAAGTTTCTGTCCAATTCCGTTAAACAAGAAAATATTGCAAAGATATGATGAAAAAAATTATCACAATTTTTACAGCGATCCTAGAAAATTCTTTGTTGACCCACGTGTGTTTACAAGACCGATGGCGCCACCAGCGGAGGTCAACGAAACTTTTGGCAGCTGATTTTGGTGCGGTGAAAAAAGCATGGCCAGCTGCTGAATTGGGAGATAATTTGTCAAATTTCAGGTGATTAACGCAAATTTCTGATTCGAAATCTTCAAGGCCGCATCCGATATTAATTTTAATTGAAACGTACGTAAAAATTATGCAGTTTTATCCGAGGTTTTCTTTAATTTGTTACATTTTGTATGCACGTAATTTACCGGTGTGTAGAGAAACAAAATATTGTTGACTTAATATTGCGATAGTATAATTGTTGTTATGTAACTTATCACTACAATTTTTTATGAATTGTTTATAAAAATGCAACGAATATGTATTCAAGCATTTCAAGCTTTTATACATATTTAAGCTCTTGCCTATCAAATACAATTTTATTGTATTTTTGTGGCTTTAAATTTTTGTTTTATATTTTGCAGGTTTGGAGTGATTTCATTTTTGAATTAATTTTATATTCTTCTTTGCAGAATGCGTTCCTAAGTCGGCAGTGATAGTGATCAGTCTCAGGAGAAGTAAAACCAAGTGAAAACCGTGAGAGAATGTCGTACTGCCGGGCCGAGGGCAAGGACAAGATCATCTTCGCAACAGCCGAGGAACATGCGAAGGAAAGCACCGTCAAACTGCCTGAGCCTGAGGAGAGGCCAGGACTGATTTTGCCTGACGGAGAGATCAACTGGAACTGTCCGTGTTTGGGCGGGATGGCGACCGGGCCGTGCGGCGTCGAGTTCCGGGAGGCCTTTTCCTGTTTCCACCACAGCCAGGCCGAGCCCAAGGGGAGCGACTGCTATGACGCCTTCAGCAAAATGCAGGAGTGCATGGTGCAGTACCCTGAGATCTACGACAAGAGGTCGGAGAGAGGCGAGGACGACGAGGAAGAAGATCCGATGGCAGCTTTGGCAGCGGAAAGTGCGAAGAAGGACGACAAGGGAAGCGAAGAATCGAATAAAGAGGCAAAGAAGGAGTAGTTGCAAGAAAAGACTTTGTTAGAAAAATGAGTTTGTTTTTTTATATTAAAAAGAAGGAAGGAATTGTTATACCTGTTTGACGTGGGCATTCAGTTTGTTGAAGAGAGGTCTCAAAAGCCGATATGTAATGTATTAGGTAGCCCAGTGCCCAGCATTTATTAGGGCAGAAGTGAAATGAAATTATATATGTAATCTGGAAATGTGAAACTTCATTATTGTCCCGTTGCAAAAGTACTTAAATTCGTTATTAGAATTCTACAAATTAATTTAATATTTTTTCTGTTTTTGGCTCTTGGGATGGAATCGATTTATGCCACAGTGATTCCCAGAGAGCTTCTAGTTTCTGAACATCGTTTGTCATTTTTTTTCCACCAATCGCTGATGAAGTCCCTCTTTGTCTGTGGTGCACTCGGGTTGCCACAATAATTATGCTAGTGAGGCCAAAGTCACAAGATGCCATGCCCCTGTGGCTGCATGCAAATTTCAGGGGCGAAAATAAATCAGTTGAATTAAATTCTAATTGTTTTATTCAGATCTTTCAAATTGGTGAATCGTAGAAAAATGAAAATTATTTCTTTCAACTATATTTGAAGAAAAGAGCTCTAATTAAGCTTATTAGTTGTAAAATATATAGAAAAAAGCCAGGTAATTAAATAGTACGGCAATGTAGGTTAAATCTTCGGAAAAAAATAAAACAAAGCACGTTTTAACAGTTCTCCTTGTTTTAATGCCATGTTAAATAGAATACAATAGATCTCTGAAAACGCCAATACAGTGAATATTCAACTTGTATTCATTTTCATTCCACTTCATTGCTAACAGCTACTTTGCATTTCATCATTCTCTTTTTTCAGATTTTTATGTTACAAAAATTTTCATATTAGGTTCAACATCACTTTCGCTAAGTACTAAAGGAATATTTTTCGTCTAGATTTTTGGTTTTTCGTCGGATAATGTTCCAATGGCATTCAAATTTATAACGTCTAAAATATTATTTTTCATTCATGGTTTAAAAATCCCCCACACTTAAACCTTATTGGCACATAATAATGCCTTACGTTACCCTTTTTGTTCAAGTGTATTAGTGACTGAAAAGGGAAAGTAAATCATTGATTGCTTTGAACGAGTCACACTTTTTGTAACACAATTAAGAGATTTCCACAATGTAATGCGAAATTCGGGTCAATATCAATCAGGAAATTAAAAATATACCATTCCTACATACTTTGAGCTGCAAAATGCATTTCCCACGTCATATTTGTAAATAAGGTTATTGCAACACGAGAGAATGAATAGAATATAAAAACATAATTAAAACAGTAACAAGAAAAAAAAGGATTTTTTTAAACAATTAATTAATAAAAACGAACACATAGCTCATTTCAAACCGACCTTAAAATTAGTGTCAAATAATGTCGATGTACAAAAAAACTTGATTGCAACCAGGCTGCTCAAATGCATGCAAATCCAAGAGGCGATATTTAAAAAATCTTCAACTAGACTCGTGAGGATGTAAGGTGTTTGTAAGTTTTAAGTATCTCAAAGTTTTTAAAAATAAAAAATTAACGAAGCGTTAAAGTCTTCAAGCCCTCTTTTCCTTAAAATGTTAATCCAAGAAGGGCGAGTAAATTTGGCATAATGAATGAATGAGTTTTTTTGTTTTTCACGTATTATTTTCGCAAAAGACAACATGCATTATTGGGGGGGGGGGGGGGGGAGGCGCGGCCGCCGGGCAAGATCAAAAGGGAGATTGTCGGGGCGGATGACTAGGGCGCCGACACTACCGGAATGACAACAAAGAGTATCACTAGAAGCAAATGCAAGAAAATTCTCTTCTGCTCTCTCTTTCTCTTGTAATTTACAGTCAGTAGACCCAGCTCACTGGCACCCACTGCGCGCTTGACTGGATTTTCTCAATGGCACGTTCAAGTGCGCAGATGGTCTCGTCAATGTCGTTGTTCACCAGGCACAGGTCAAACATGTGGCCGTACGCAGCTTTGAGAAGGTCAGACTCCTTCGATAGTCTCTCCAAGCTTCCGTCGTACTGCGCCGAGAAACAAAACTTAATCAGTACAATTTGGAAAATTTTGCCAAAACCTGGATTATGTTTATTTTCAGTTTTTGTTTTTGTCTTTAGTGTATTTTACGGTCATGCAAAACCAAATTTAAATTTTTTTTGTTTAGAAATAAAAATTTAAAACGTTTAAAGGAAACTTTAAAGTGCAATTTTAGAAAATAAAATCGAATTGAAAATCTGGTCAACTGAAAGAAACTGAGATCAGAACGGTGCAAGGTGGTTTTTTGTGCTGATTTTTGTGAAACACCAATGTTTACGACAGTTAAACACCGATTAATTACATTTTTAAATGATAAAGAAGTAGTAGAACGGGCATTTCTTACTGTTACTCCTCCGACAGCCCCGAAAGCCGGGGCGCCGATAAACACAACATAAGGAGCAAACTCGGCGGTGCGGAGGATTTTGAGCGCCTGAGGCTCGACGTCCAAGATTGCCATCAGGCCGTCCTGATGGATCTTTCGAATAGTTTCCAACTTAGTTCCGTACATGGCATCCTCGTGTGTGCCTGCACAGAGAAATCGATTTGCAATGAAAATAAACAGAGAGCTATTTAATATATTTACCATATTCTAAGTACTCATTAGCTGCAATGTCTGCCATCATTTCGTCGTGAGACACAAAGAAATAGCTCCGGCCGTTTTCCTCGTCTGCTCTTGGCGGCCTGGTTGTGTCTGAAAAACCGATACTCATTAATATTCGCCGCAGTGTGGATGTAGTGGTGTTTGGGCGTCGGGGATGAAATGGGGCGAGGGTTGAATAAGCAATATGGGTGGAAATTTTTTTAATGTTATCTATATACAAGCATTTCTGAAACTTTATTGACGTTTGGCACTGACACCATGCCAAAAAATAATTCAAAATTATAGCGGACTATATTTATTTTCTGCATACAACTTTCTCTTTTTTTAGATTTTCTAGAACAGACTATGCGTTGATGTTTATCTCCAGATATGATGTAAATGGAAATTTGCAACTCAATTAATCTTTTTTCAGAGAATTCTTATTTAAATTATATTGAGAAAAAAAGAGATGAACACATAGGAATATTTACATATTTTTTTCTGGAAACAAAACTTTAAGGTAGCTCATCAGGTATATCCTATAGTATTATCTTTCCACTAGTCATATACAAATATTTAAATGAAAATTATATTTATTTCTTAAAAAGAAAACTAAAACAAGATGTAAGCTCATGCGAGCAAAAAAAAAACAAAAAACAACAACAACAAAAACTACGACGTTCTGTATAGTGTTCAAACCCCTTTTTACGCCTTAACACCTTTTGGTCTCGAAATAGCAGCATCTTAAGGATAAGATTTTTTCGCAAAGAGGCGCTTAAAATCTCCAAAGGCGCCGTTACGTAACGGGGGCGAATCGATAATCATGCAGAGGAAAGAAAGGTGGCTGACAAAACTTACGAGGAATGGGATAGGCGTATTTGTCCGGGTGCTTGGCGATAAGTGTGTTCTTGATGTGTCGGCGTCCCACCCCGTGCGCGCCCAACAGCACAAGGGTCTTGCGTTGGAAAGCTGCAATTTGAAAAAAAAGTAAAGTCAAGGTCGTGAGAATTCGGTGTCTACTGTGTATGTACTCACAGGGCAGTTTGACGACTTCCTCGTATGTGACAAGGTCTAACTGATCAAATACTGCATTGTGCTTTGCCAGGTACTTATCTCGAGACTGCTTCTTCTTCCGTCCAAAGATAGAGCAGTTCACTGCAAAAGAAGGACATCCTTTATTCAAAAGACACACCGGAGCAGCAGCTCGCGCGCCACAGCGCCAGCCGAGCCTCAAACACAGCGCTCGTCTTTAATTATTTATCCCACATCATGCTCTCTATTCATCCCCCTAAAGCCTACGGTTTCAGCAGATAAGCCTGCGATTTAAGCGCGATTTATGGTAAAAAAAACGAGACAAAAACTTGAACGAGATTTGTTACAACAAAGGACATTCTCTGAAAAATCCAGCCTTTAATCGACATAGTATTTTATTTCTGTTTGAAAAAGTATCTGAAATGATTGAAGTAATTTAGTATTTTTACGGCCAAAATTATAATTCGTTTTCTTTTTTAATTTTGATATATTTGAATTAGGTAAGCTGATAAATTTTAAGTTCCTCTATTTTTGGATGGTCATTTAAAAAAATATAGATCCATCTAAAAAAATATCTTATTTTAAATTGTGCAAATTAAAAACAAAATATTCCTAAAAGTATCATAAGTTTCAGTTGCTAAAACATTGATATAAACTTTCATTGCAATATTTTTGCTATCAACTTTTCAAAGAACATCCTTTGACGGTAGGAATATATATTTTTTTTTGTAACTGCTGCTAGCGGGGGTGATGGAGAAAATTTAATAAATGTCCAACAACACATATAATGACTCTCAACAAGGGTTTCGGTCCAGCAGACACATCAAACGCAATTTTACGAGGGCAGCAAAAGAAGGAGTTCGGGTTCTCTCTTTTACACTCTCACTTTCCAGTCTCATCTGCCGCACTTACAAACAACGTTAAAAAGACACAGAGCAACACATACAAGGATTCAAAACGTATACACAGAGGCCTCTTCTCTGTCTCTCGCACCAAAGCAACCACACACACACACAGCAGGGCAAACAAAAATCAATTTGGCTAGGCTGCTGCCTGAGAGGAGTCGTAAATTCTGTTTGCAGACACAGGAAAGAAGTATACACGCCTATTGACACGCCAAGTATGTATGGAAAAAATTTTGATTCCCTGCCAAAAAACACAAGGGATGAACAAAAATTAAGAAGGAAACGTAATTCTTAAATCTTCAGTACACAGGGCAACTCAACCTATTTTAATCCGAGTGATAAGTTTTGTTGAAATCCGCCACCATAAATATTATGGAATTAAAACGAGGTCTTATTTTTTTTAATTAATTAACTTTTGTAAATATTTTTTTTTTGTATTATATTGCTGATTGGTTTAATAAAAAAAAATTGTTGAAAGTTTGCACTTAATGAAGATTTCATAAATAATGGAAAAAGAGCTTAAGGCTTATTTCCTTTGAAAAATGGTTCCTTTTCATTTTTTTTTATCTTTCCAAAAATTCAACTTTATACTTATATAATCATTCCTCATCAAACTGATGATTCAAAATTAAAATTAGCTGAAGATTTCAAAATGTATGTTTCCTCATCATAACGGGAGGCTACCCGCGTGCACACATGGGCAGGGAATCGCTGCACAAAAGGGTGCGCATGCGCAATGCAGGTGCAGGGTAGAGCCCAAATTCTAACCTGGGGTGCCATCACACGTCTCCTTTTGAGAGGTGCATCCTGCACTGCCGTCTGCACCGAACAACACAAATTTCACAGAGGAGGTTATGCAGAGCAAAAGGAGCCCCTGAGAGAATCTTTTTGATTTTGATTTTTTTTTCTTTACATCCCTCCCTGACGCAAAAACACTCTTTGCCTGATTAGAGAGGAAAAACGAGACCCCCCGGAAAAAATATGCATCTCTCTGTGCTGATCAAATATGAATGCCAAAAATCCCGCTCGCGCCCGCCACCCACTAGTCAGCTAAAACACACACTCATGCTGCGTTATTTCCATGGTCAGACAGCATTTCCCTCAGGGGCCAAACAAACACTCACCCTGTTCATTTTTGGCCTTCTCCATGGCCTGACAGGCCGTCCGCCACTCTTGCAGCTCCGGCGAGGGAATGAGGCCAGCGGTGCCGGAAGCAACGTCCTTGCGGGCCTGCCACCAGTTGTGATCGTCCTTACTTATAATCTGCAAAATGGCCAAACACATCCAAATATTAAATCGAATCACATCTAATATTAATTTCAGCTCAAGGGTCGGTTCCAATCGGAAAAATGAGCTGGAATTTTCAGGAATTTTTAAAATAATTTTTTAAATTTCTTCAAAACAGAGCCAGAAATTTGAAAATTGTGGCAATAAGTTAATTTGAAGATCTAAGAATTTAAGAAAAAAATTGAGCCAGATAAAACTGCGATTAATATTCTTGAACATAATATCGTAATCCCCAAAGAAAGGTTGCAAAAAATGGTCTGAAAAGATTCAATAAACAGCCATTCTAATTTAAAAGTTTAAAATTTTAATTTAATAATAATAATAATAATTATCGTAATTAACTTGCTTTAATTTAAAGCAAAGTGTAGCAAAGTAGAACCAGTAAAGAAAATATTGTTGACTGAAAAATATGGGAATATTTATATATTCACAAATTAACTTTACCAAAACCATTACAATTCCCATAAGTTCGTTTCATGAAATTTTAATCAATTCTCTATGGACAGATTATACGCTAAATATGAGGGAAAAACAAGATGCAAGATGTGTTCTAAAATGGGTTGGTTAAAATTTAATTTTTAATAACATCCCATTTGGGGAAATGAAGTTGATTTTTTGCTTGTATTTTTCAAACAGTGGGACAAAAAATTTGTAGACATTTAGCATCTATTAAAAATATAAAATATGTAGAAGTCCACGAAAAGAAAAATAATAGAACAATAAAAAATGCCATCAATGTGGTGCCATTTTATTTTGATGCTATAAAAAATTGGTATAATTTACTTTTAAGATAAAACTTGTTGGGCTCACGTCAAACTTGGGATTATAGGATTGCAGACAAACTTGAGCTTACGAAACAATCCATTTTTGCTAAAACTTTACCAGCATTTGGCTCTGTTATCTGAAGACAGCAATTAGGCAAACAAACGAGGATCGGAAACTTCGCATGCGAACGCGAGAGCAAGTTAGTCGGGGTGTGATTTATGTACCTGCAGAATGTCGCCAGTCTTGAAGGCGATGCCGGCTTGAGCACATGGTATGAGGTCGTCCTCCAGGGGATCGTAGTCGAATTGTGCGCGCACAAAGATCTGCGAACGAGAGGAGACTTTGAGTGAGGCCAGACGAGTCGAACAAGGAAAAGTAGTGTGGTGTTGCCTCGCAGAACAATAAAAAAAGATACCTCAAAATAATTAATAAATATATATACTATCAAGCAATTGACGCCGAGTTATACACGCATGCACGAACACAATCGGGCCAGAAATAAGCAACTGCGGGTTAAGGGAAAGTTGCTTGTCTTGGGAGCCTCCAGAGTTGTTTAAACTCGGCACGCCTGAGGCCAAAAAACACGTGTAATACACCAGATTAAAGGGCACAGACTGTCAACTAACTAACTAGCCAACTAATAGAGCAGCGGTACTTACTAAAACAGGGAGAGGCTTAATCCTGAACAACTAGAAATAAGAGAGGATAAAGACATAAATCCAGGGTGTCACAAATAGGGCACGGCGAAAATCATCACATTTTTTCACTTAAAATTTTGAAATTTCATTTGTTGTTCACTTTTGAACAATTTTGAAATAGACTGGTGAAAAATATAAATTTTACAAAAAAAAGTTAAAAATAAATGAGTAAATCTTGAACTTTGCAAAAGTTGCTTGAGGATAATCAAATGAGAAAGTTGAAATGAAAGAATGAAAAAAATATCCCTTTTTGAAATTGGACTAAACCACAGTATTTTTTGAGCAATCGAAAATGTTTTTGAAATTGACCTTTATTGAACCTTTTCAATTGAATATTTTTTCAATATTTCTGTGAGCTAAAGAATAAAAAAATTATAATTCATTGGGAATATTGGCAATCACTATTAAATCAGACTATTTTTCATCAGTCTATAGAAATTAGAACAAGGAGGGTCAGTGGGACAGGGAGTTTTTCAAATGAATCTTAGCTTTCCTAGTTCCGATTTCCACCCCATTGCAGATTGAATGCCAAGAGAGTTGCGCGCGCGAATCGCGCTTCATGAAGTGAAATGTTATTAAAATGAGCGGACGTACGAGATGCAAAAGTAGAGCAGGGCAAGCCGTAAAAAATGCAAATTTATCACCGAGTGTGTCCTGTTTTTACACAAGGAGGAATTTAATTTCGTCTCCTCTCGTTATTTCTTTGAATAAAAACAAATATAAAAGACAAACGTCTTCTTCAAGTGTAAATTTGTACATAGTACATGAAAACACACGCGGAGCAAAGCTAAAAAATTAGCTCACAATGAATGTGTTTGTGTACGTATCAAAAGCAAGCATACAGACAAATGTAAATGGAGACTTTGTATAAATATATATAATATGGAATTGTAGCTCTACTGAACTGTAAAAGATAAAAATTTGTTGGCAACTGACTGAACGTGAGTGCAAAGTATATGTATAAAAAATATGGGGCATATATAGAGAAGAGAGAGAGAGAGAGAGAGTAAATATGTATATTCGTACGGAGTGGAATGTGTATTGCATCTCGGCAGGAGTATTTACCTCACATGGTGGCGGTGCACTGCGATACGAGGGCACGATTTTAAAAGTAACTGAGCCTCTTGCCTCTCTCTGGAACACATCACATGAAAAATCATTAGCCTTTTATCTTTCATGTTTGCAGCTGTATTAAAAAAGACGGAGCACCATAAAGATGGACGGACGGATGGATACGTCCTTGCTCCCAAGCTTGATTGGCCAAATATTTCGCCCGTCTGAACACATTACCATGCACTTCCCGGGCTTTTAGCGCAAAAAAAGGAGGGAGATCAAAGGCGCTCTTTTCTCTGCATGATGATCCGCGGCTCCGATATTGAAATATTATGTGTTATACACGCTTTGATCTTTTGTCCTGCATCGCCTTTGATAGCTCATTTGGGCCAAAGAGAAACTAATTTAATTATTTTTTGGTATATTTCGATTCAGTGCTGACCTCTAATAATTGAAAAAAAAGAAATTATGCCCAAAAATGATAAAAATGTGCAGTTTTTAATTTTTGACTGTTGAAAATTTAAGCAGAATCTTCTAAATTAAAAAATTTTAACCAGAATTTGAACCAAAATATTGAAACACAACAACACAAACAAAAATGATACAAAATTATGTATGAAATTTAAGTTTTGAATAAATAGAGCAGATTTTTTTTTTAATTTCAGTGAATAATGCAGTAACAAAAAGGGCACTTTACTTTTTTTTGAACTTTGAACGTATATTATTTGGTTTGTAAATTTATTTAATAATTTTGACAAGTCTCTAAAATAATACGTAATAATTTAAATTTACAACACGGAAAATGAAAATTTATTAGACATAAACCTGCAGCTTTTTACAGAGGACGAATTATTTGGGACCAATCAAGCTGAATTGCACAATTGTCACACTCACCAGCATTTTTTGCAAGGTACTAACTGACTGGTTGGCCACCGACACTCCGTTGATCTCTCTGATCTCATCGCCCACGTGCAAGGTGGCCTGGCGGTGTATCATTCCGCCGTGCATAATGCGGGCGACCACGCACTGGCCTTGAGGGCTGAGCTTCAGTGTGATGCCCTGCGGAACAGATGTCGTCCAAATTAGCAAAAAATCTTCAGTCGTTTTCCGCGCCGACGCCCCCCAAAGGAGGCCATTCTTCACCAGAACGACCGAAAAATCGCCTTCCGACGACGCTGGCTCGCGTGCCAACATTTTTTACGACCCACTTTGCTTGCAGGGAAACGCTGGGAATCTTCATTTTCTGTTATTTATTGGGTTCATTGAAAGGAGCGAGTCGGAGCAAGAAAAAAAGTTGACGGAAGAAAATGTAGAAATTTTTTACAATGATGTGGGATGAAATTTGCTTTATAAAAAGTTGACTTTCAATAAAAAATTGTTATATTTCAATAGTTTATTTTTTTTTCGTTAAATTTTTAGTTAAAATAAATATTTTAAATTGAATGTGAATATAAAGTGCAAATATCTGTGATGAGTGGAGAGTAAATACTTAATAAATTAATTAATAATGCAGTTTCCAATGCAATCCAAAATGGTATCTGAATGTAGAATAAATAAGTCCCCTTACAATTTATCAAAATCTTCAAACAATATTTGAATGAAAACCTTCTAGAAAAATAACAAATTCTGATTTTTTTTTAATATTTGGCAACTTATCGTTGAAATCGATGAATTTTTTAAATTAAAATTATTTTAGAACTCACCATGGGCTCGTCGGTGTTCTTCTGGAACTGCACGAGGCGCACCCGGGTGACCATCTCGCATTCGGGGCCACCCTCGTCGCCACTGTCGACGCCACCCATGAGGCCGCCGCCGCCGCCTTCCTCGCTGCCATTCAGGTACGGACCTGGCAGCAAGGGCGGGGGCGTCACGCGCACCGCGCCTGCACCATACACCTCGTGCGAGGCCACGTCGTGTGCTTGAAGCAGCGCCTGCAACATTACAAATTCAGATTAGCACAAACTTCTCGTGTCTCTCTAATTAGGCGCCCATTGATTTTCGCTCGAGCTGTTCAGTCGAGGTGCGGCTTGTAATGTGCGCCTCCTCGTTTTGATTATCAATCTCTTGAGAGCAGCCAGCACACACTTTTTGCCGCCGCGCGTTTAATTAGTGAGCGAAAGTTGTTACACAACATCGTTACTTTCAAATTTGTTTGTTTGCCAAGTGGTGAATTTTGAGATTGAGCTCATATTGGATTAATCGATATGGGAATTCAATTTACATTTCAGATTTATAAAAATTCAAAATGCTTTCAAAAAGTCTAAAGGTCTTCCATAATTTTTATAATGTGTCATTGATGCTAACTGACATGGAGTTAATTTGATTGGTATTTCCATTGGTTATTTTGGAATGGATATTTATGTATTTTGTAAGATTTTGAAGGAAAAACATCATAATTTTTAAGGAGGACCGAACAGTGTTCTTATACCTGACAGTGAACCAAAGAAGACGTAGTTTTGATTTATTTGCCAATTTAAAAACTTCCTCAACGGCTTATTTACTTAAAAAGAGTGCTTTATTTAAAATTTTAATAAAACAGCTCACAATCAAACTCAAATTTGTGCGTTAGAGATTTTGATCAAATATTAAAATATTTACATTTCTCTGCAAATTTAACGATTTAATATTTCCCTAACTAATTGAATAATGTATTTGATAGAAAATGCCTAGTGCTATTACTTCCATGGAACTAAATCAAAGAAACACTTCTCGCACTTTGAATTTTATAGCTCACAAAGGTCTGTGACATAGTTATACAAGGTTGGAAAATTTATGAGTCGATTGTCCCCGCGCTCCTTGGAGTCAAGCATAAAATAAGCCCTTTCCCCACTTTTTTTATTGCCACCATGCATCACCAAAGAAGAGCAAGTTTTGCGTTCGCACAGCTCAATTTCGCCTATCTAAACACTTTTAAATTATTAATGCCGGTGAAAAGCTGTTGGCCAAGTTTGCAGGTTGCGCGCGATAAGCACAAAAAACGCCATAAATCACCGCTCGCTCGCAAGTCATGAATTGGATTTGAGCGATAAAAAATAGCGGCAGCTCGAAACAACAATCGATAAATCGTGAGCAGGATGCGAATTTGAATGCAAACACTATTTCCGCAATCAGCAGGCGCTGGAATGCAACCCGCGTAGCACGGCGGACAAGCTGGTTGCATAGACTCCCCTAGCAGCAGCCAGAAGAGCAGTCGGCGCTGAGCAAACGAACCCCCGTTTGATGATACAGAGTCCAAGTGGCACGCGAAGGGAGATAGAAACGAGATCCATAAACGGAAACGGTCAGCACTATACGAGGCGTAACAGTTGCGAGAGAGAGCGTGTTCCGAATCAATTTTATAAACAATAACATCTCCGGGCAGCGCTCGGTTGCGGTCGGATAACACGTAAAAAGCAACATTCGGTGGAAAAATTCACTCAGCACTTTTTTATCCGTCGCTCGGGCGGTGGCGAACGTGACACCAGCGAAGCCTTGCAATCCCCACGCACCAAAGCTGAGAATTTACCATGGGGGTTCAAATCACATTTTTTTATTCTTGATATTTCAAACTTTGGGCAATGATGTGCGTTTAAAAATCAATTCTTAGAGCGACCAAACTTGATGGAAATAATTTAGATAAAATACAAAATTCCACATCTTATCATAAGTTTCTTGACAATGTTTTTCAGGAAATTGTGCAATTTTTAGTAAAATTAATCTTGAAATTTTAGTTCCAGATGGTGCTTCTTGAAATTTAAACACTTATGAAAGATATTACATAGGCAGTTAAGGGAGCCGAAACATTTAGTTCGAATTTAATCTCTGACTGAAAACTGCTGAAAATTATTTAGCAATAAGACAAGGTTAATTTCAACCTTAAAAGTGGAAATTAGAATTAATTTGTAATTATTACTATAATCTTGAAACTTGGGACGACACTTGTCATCTTTTCATTAATTCCATGATTTCAATCAGGAATAAAAATTTTTATGTATTACATAAAACTTTTGGGTCATGAAAAAAGGTGATCAAAAGTAATTTTTGCGAAATTGATAGCAATTTCAATTGGAAAATCATGAGTTCAAACTGATTTTTCAGAAACGGTTACAGTGAAAAAAAGCTGTCTTCATTATAAAATAAATGAATAAATGCTATCGAATTGATAACGAGCAATAAAAAGCTAAAAAAGAAATAAAGAACAAACGTTTCTGTGGCTCGCAGTATAAAATTGCTAAATTATTTTAAGGCTTGAATGGATAATAAAATTTACTGTACACTACTTAGTGTGCCACCATAAAAAATACAATAGTTTTAGTTTAATTTTGTTAGTTTAGACATAAATAATTCATGATTCACTCCAAAGGACAATTTACAACTCAATAAATTACTAAATATTTACCATTTGAGCCAAAATTTCCAACTTTCGGCTTTTAATTCAAAGCCTTTTACCATAAATGATGCATGGACTAATAAGTTTTGAGACTGGTAAATTATTGGAGCACTTGTGTCCACCAACTTTAAGGAGGGAATAGTTATCTGTGTGGCGAGGATCAAGGTGTCTGCATGTGGCAAGGGAAGATAACGGTTTAGCGCGCGAGAGGCCAATCACAAGTCCTGTGGGACTCGCCGGTTTTAATTGAAAAGAGACTCACATAGAAGATCATCGTGGCCGACTGCCTGCCGAGACTGCAAGGCACGACTAAGAAGAAGAAGAAGCAGCGCAAGTGACGTCAGGCACGTTGATATTGTTGATGGAATTTTAGATGAGATCAGCACAAGTCGAGTGTGCGACGCGAACAAAAGGCCGGCACGGTCGGACGGATGTGCTCGCCACCGCCAGATACACCTTTCGGCCTGCTTGACAAGCTAATTTAGCATGCAGTGCGCACAGATTATGCATATCATATTGCAGGGGCGGCGGCTAATGTATCGCGTGTACACCGGCTGGCTAATACATCATGTACACGGGCGCTGATAATGGAGCGGCGGCTTAGTTGGCCCGGCGATTGGTCGCCCCTCCAATGATGGCCAACCGCAAAGATGCTGATCGAAATCTGACTAATTGCGAACAATAATTGACGCTGACCCATTTTGCAATCTGGAAAACTGGACGAAGAAAAAACAATTTAATAAGTAAATAAGATTACTTCAAACTAAAATAATTTGAAGAAAAATTATTTATAAATTTAAATGTTATTCTTTTAACTGATTGTGTATGTTGAATAAGAAGCTTCAATTTAATAATTTTGATCATTGGCCTTCATTCACAGGGTAAAGTAGTTAGTAACTGTTAAATAAAATACCCGTACCGACCTGTACTATAAGATGATTTCTAACTTTATGAATCAAATTAACTGTAGAGAAGTAAATTATTTTAAAATTGATAAAACTCAAGTATTTTATTTATGCTCTTTTCTTTATTTGGATTTGCAATTTTCCAACCTTAAAGTAATCATAACACTTAAAAAACAAAATAAAAGTATAATTTTTTCCATTTAATAATTTTTTCTTTGTGATTCCACAACAGGGCATTGATAAATTCATTCCCGATTCCGAATGAATTTATTTTTAGATAAAACTTATTATTTGTATAAAAACATTTTTAAAAACCAGAAGTGCTTGAAAATTTCAAAATTAATTAAGAAGAACCTAAAAAGTTGTCTATAGTTTTAAAATGTAAAAATTAAAAATAATCACAACACTAATTTATTAAAATTTTAATTTTTAACAAAAATTTACAATAACACGTTTTGAAATTACATTAATATCCAATTTTTACAGAAAACTCTGTAATGCCTTTTGAAATTAATTAAAAAAGATTCAATAAGCTGGCGCGCCAAATTTTTTTTTTAATAATGATTTGGTGCGGTCTCTTACAAAGTAATTTTGCGCAGTACTCATTTCCTCTTTGCCCTCCAACCATGTTAATACAAACTGCAGTTTTGTCCTCATTCTTCAGTACAGAGTGCACATCGCATATTCATGACTGCAAATTTTTTCTCAATTAAAGCACGCCATAATTCTCGGTGCTGCAATGAAAAATTCCGTCCATACCCTGGCAGCTCTCCCTCTCTTTTCAGCAGGGATTGAAGCCAACAAGAGACGGTAAATAAATGATGGCCTATTAATTCATCTCGGCTGCGCTCCTGGCGAAAACTGCATGCCATTGCCCTGTTTTTTTATTTTTCAATTATAAAACAAAAGGGTGTGCTTAATTTAAAGCCGAGTGATCCACTTGGACTTTTTGCCAACGGCGGTGCCAGTGAAAAGTTTTGCCGTCCTAAATTGCTTTTCCGATTTCGGTTCCGATGGACTCGCAGCCAATCAAACTTAGCCGATACGCGCAAAAAGCGGCAGTGGGCGGACGGCGGAACCGACTGCCGCATTATCCATAGTTTCCACGTCAGCCGTTTGCAAAAGAAAGCGTGTCTAAAAAGAATATTGATTCCTTTCAAAATTTAATTATTGGAGTTTACAATGTATTAGTTGGAGCAATTTAAAGAGGTTTGTAAACCTTTTTTAAAGAGAATACATTAAACCATTTTTTACTTAACTATTACAAACAAAATTTTTAATATGAAAATTTTTCCTTCATTTTTGGCTTCCTCTTTGCGTATAGTAATAGAGTTAATCAATTGCATCTTAGATTCATCACAATGTTCTGAAATTTGGAAAATAATAAAGTTTAGGCTAGAATGACTTCAGTTTCAGTATTTTTTTTTCAAATGTATTGCGAAATAGACTAAATCGGCACAAAAAAGCCTAGAAGTAATTTTTTTTTCGAAGTTTTAGACATTAAACCAACAAACAACCTGATCTTCTGCATGCGGAAAAAAGTTTAAATAGTTGTTTGACCTGTTCCAAAACACCTTTGTATAACAAATCATATAAAATTAACTGAGTGCCTCATTCTTAAAAGCATAGCAAATATCTAATACATCGTATATATTTC